AGACACCCTAACTCATCCCTGGACTCCCCAGGATGCTGCGCTCTCTGCTCTCAGCCCAAGGGGTGTCCCCACAGATGATAACAGTTTTCATTGACGGCTACTATGAGGTAAGTGGGGCTTGGGGAGCATCGGAAGGGCTCTGAGCAGCAATAATCACTGAGGACTGGCAAGGTGACAGTCCAGATGTGGGCTGTGAAATGTAAAGGGCTTGGCATGTGGGGACCTGCAGAGACGGGTGGGGGGTGTGGCCTCTCATGATGACCAGTGGCCATGCCCTCCAGGAACCCATGGATGTGGTGGCACTGTTCGGTCTGAGAGGCATCCAGCACACTCCCATCAGCATCAAGAATGCCCGTGTGTCTCAGGTACTGCCCAGGCCAGGATGGAAAGAGCAAACCCCTGGCTCTGCCCTCCACCCCAAAGCTCATGTGCTCTATTCCCACTCCCCACCCAGCACTACAAGGCCAGCCTCACTGCCACTTTCAACCTGTTTCCGGTGAGTACTACAGATCCAACTTGTGGGGCTGAAGAGAGAAACATGGGCTTGAGGTCTAGTCCTGTTACATAGCAAGCTCTTCCCTTTACCAGGCTGTATCTTATCTGGGAAACAGGAGTAGTGGTGCCTGCGCAGTGGGGTGGGGGTGGGGGGCTCACGTGATGATGAGAGAGGCCCCCTTGGGGTCGTGATGTCCCCCTACCCCTTCAGGAAGCCAAGTTTGCCGTGGTTCTAGAAGAGGACCTGGACATTGCTGTGGATTTTTTCAGGTGAGCGGCCCACCACTTTGGTGCCTTTAAACCATGTGGAGCTTTGCTTGACTGGGTCTCTAGGGAAGGAAGTGGTAAGGTGTCTTGGAGAGCTTTCTGGAGGAGATGAGTTCAGCAGTGGGGGAAAGCCTGAGCAAAGGTAGGAAGGCAAATGTTGAGGCTGGTGTAACAGATAGGATAAATGGAGGTGGTGAGGATTTCCTGAGTCCCAGCTGCCGCTCTTCCAGTGTCACATGTGGTTGGGTTTGTCTTTGCTTTTCTCTGGACTCTTGGTCCTGGCTTTCTCAGTTTCCTGAGCCAGTCCATTCACCTACTGGAGGAAGATGACAGCCTGTACTGCATCTCTGCCTGGAATGACCAGGTAGGCTGGGTGACTAGGGATCAGCCAGTAGTTGGTTCGTAGAGGTCCAGAGCTAATGCCTCTCGCAATGGCCCCATGTTCCCAGGGATATGAACACACAGCCGAGGACCCAGCACTACTGTATCGTGTAGAGACCATGCCTGGTCTGGGCTGGGTGCTTAGGAAATCCTTATACAAGGAAGAGCTTGAGCCCAAGTGGCCCACACCAGAAAAGGTACCCAGCAGGGTAGGGTGAGTGGGGTGGAGTCCCACACCAAGCTATAACTTCTGACCTTCATAATCTTCCATGTCCCTCAGCTCTGGGACTGGGACATATGGATGCGGATGCCTGAACAACGCCGGGGCCGAGAGTGCATCATCCCAGATGTCTCCCGATCCTACCACTTTGGCATTGTTGGTCTCAACATGAATGGCTACTTTCATGTGAGCGGGACACAGGGGTGTGGGCCACAAAATGGCCATAGTCAAGGACATGGACTCTGGAGCTGTCCTTGCGCTGTTGCTTCCTAGCCGTATTACCTTGGGGAAATTACTCTCTTGCTTTGTCTGTTTATCTGTAAGATGAGGATACCTATCCCATAAGGTTATGAGGTTTAACTTAGTTAAATATGTGTAATTATATGTATTTCTGCCTCCAGGCATTGGTCCAGTCCTGCAGGCTCTGCCTGCTCCTGTCCTTGTAAATGGTGGGAGGGGGCCTCCTTAGTTTAAAGTGAACAGGGAGGTCCCCAGGCCTCCACACTGCATCTGGCTGTGTCTAGAGGGCCATTTCCCAATTACAGTAAGGGGGCCCTTGAGACAGCCCAGCTCAAGGAAAGGATCCAGTTTAGAACTTCCTAGAAGCCAGGAAGGTCCCCAGAGGGCAGCTAGTACAAGAGCCCCATCACTCGAAGCACCTGAGTCACAGCAGGGTCTTCCCTCCCAGCCTCATCTGTCCCCCTACCTACCACCACCCACAGGGCCAGTTCTTGGTTCTTGAAGAAGCCTAGGGAGAACCACTGGGGTCGGGGTAGTTCGCAGGTCAGTAGCATGAGCTGCCACGTGGGCATGAGCTCTCTGGCAGTAGTGGAGTTCATCTGGGGAAGGTGGTGATGCCTGTAATCCCAGCACTATGGAGCCTGAGGCAGGAGGAGTGCCACAAGTTCGAGGTTACATAGTGAATTGAAGGCCATTCTGAACTATATATCAAGACAAAAACAAGGGCAGGGATTTAGCTCAGTGGCACCGTGCCTGCCTCATAAGTACAAGGTCCTGAGTTCAATCCCTGGTACCAACCCACCCCCCAAAAAAACGCAAATAAATAATAGTGAAACTAAAAAGTTCATATTAAAGCTACTAAGAGTTTGCCAAGGATGCTACAAAGAGGAAGGAGGTCAGGAAGAAATCAGATGATGCTTTCAAGGCCCCTAACTTCATTTGTTTATATGTAGACATGAGTGTGTTAGTGAGCAGGTGTGGGCCAGGCAACATGAGGCCCAATTTGCATCCTCACACCCATTCCAGGAGGCCTACTTCAAGAAGCACAAGTTCAACACAGTTCCAGGTGTCCAGCTCCGGAACGTGGACAGGTGGGGGCTGGCAACTGGGCAAGAGGGAGGATGTGTAGGAGATTTGATGACTGGTCCTTAGCCCTGCTGCCCCATGTTTCATGTGACCCTTGCCCTGCCCATTGCTACCCGTGTCCTGTCCCGTCCTGACTCATTTTTCCCTCTTCGTCAGTCTGAAGAAAGATGCTTATGAAGTGGAAATTCACAGGTTACTCAGGTATGGCCTAGGGCAGCTGGGATGTGTGGCAGGGAGTAAGGAGTCAAATACTGGGGTTCCTGGTTTCATACATTGTGAGGCTCTGTGCAAAATGAAAATCAGGTTTCCTAGTTCAGACATTATTAAGAATTTCAAGGGCCAGGGATTTAGCTCAGTGGTTCTGTCACCTGCCTTGCAAGCGTAAGGACCTGAGTTTGATCCCTGGTACCAAAAAAAAAAAAAGAATTTCAGGATAGAATAGCAGAGCATTAAACCAAGCCAAGGGCCCTGTGTGACAAATCCATGAAGTGTGCCCTACCTTGGGCTTATCCCTCCACCTTCCACTGCAGTAAAGCTGAAGTTTTGGACCATACCAAGTACCCCTGTGAAGACTCCTTCGTGCCAGACACAGAGGGCCACATCTATGTGGCATTCATCCAAATGGAAAAGGAAGATGACTTTACCACCTGGACCCAGCTTGCCAAGGTACCTGTCTTAGTTATTTTTCTCATGCTGACAGACAATATCCAATGCCCAAAGTTAATGGAAGAAAGGTTTATTTAGCTCAGTTTGTGGAGGTTTCAGTCCATAATTGGGTGGCTCCAAGGCAGCATGGTGGCATCACAGAGAAACAATTCATGGTGGACAGAAGGTAGCAAAGCAGCAAGTGATGATCACAGCTTTTTTTTTTTTTTTCTTTTCCCCACGGTACCGGGTATTGAACTCAGGACCTTGCACTTGCCAGGCAGGCACAGTGCCACTGAGCTATATCCCCAGCCCTGACCACAGCTCTTTCTATCCCTTATATCTTATCCAGGATACTTAGGGCAGGTAGCATTCATACCCTTAATCCTAGTGCCCTTGATCCTACCACATTATACTGTATCAATCCCAGCATCACACACTCTAGATCCAGCCACCTCTGAAAAAGTCCCACCTAAAACTGCATGAGGCTTTGGGGGGTTAAACACGAACCATAACAGTGCCCCAACACCACACCCTCCCCGCATGGCCCAAGATTCAAGTTCAACCTCAACCTCCTCCTCCTTGTGCTCTCAGAATTCTTCCAACCCCTTTGTCCAAATTCATGTTTCTGAAAATGCCACCATTTGCAGATTGAGATGGCTACTGAATTCTCATCAGTTTCTTTCCATAGCTCTGTGAGCCATCTCTGTCTGTGTCTGTCTGCCTCTGTCTCTCTCTCTCCTTTCTCTTTCGCTGTTCCCACCCCCACTCCCCGCCAGTGCCTCCATATCTGGGACCTGGATGTGCGTGGCAATCACAAGGGCCTATGGAGATTGTTTCGGAAGAAGAACCACTTCCTGGTGGTGGGGGTCCCAGCCTCTCCCTACTCGTGAGTGACCCTTTTCTACCCTGGGAGATGGGATCCTAGTGGGACTAAGGGATGTGGCTAAGGACCTCTTCCCTGTGTGTAATTCTCGTGTATCTTCCAGAGTGAAGAAGCCACCATCGGTCATCCCGATATACCTGGAGCCACCTCCAAAGGAGGAGGGAGCCCCAGGAGCTGCAGAACAGACATGAGACCTCCAGAATCCTGCAGGGCTGGGTACTGTGTACCCCTAGGCAGGCTGTCCCTTCACCCCATCCTGTAGGATTTTGTAGATGCCAGTAGGGGCTGGGGCTGGTTTGTTTTTAACATGAGACTTAATTACTAACTCTAAGGGGAGCATTCCCTTGCTCCAGCACCCCTCTTTCTGAGTTTAAGGTGTATTTATTTACTTCCATGTTGGAGAAGGGCAGAAGAATACCTAGGAATCTTTGGGATCCCTGGGGAGCTGATCCTGCCCTTTTTGTACACCCCCGCCCCCAGGCCTGGCTCAGAATCTAATGTATTTATTGACTGTCCTGAGGGCCTTGGAAATAGGCCTACCTGAGGGCCTTGATTCCTTTCTGGGCTGGAATGCTGGCCTGAGGGTGGGGCTGGCTCTTACTCAGGAAACTGCTGTGCCCAACCCATGGACAGGCCCGACTGGGACCCATGTGCTGACACAGACTCACTCAGAGACCCCTAGACACTGGACCAGGCCTCCTTGCAGCCACCTCTTTGTCCAGACTTCCAAAGATGGATAAAGTGGTCATTGATTAAAAAAAGGAGAAAATTTTTGGTGATGTATCTTGTGATTGTAAATTTATGTGTGTGAGGGGGAATGTAGAAGGAGGAGAGAATCATATAGATAATTATTTCTGTTCTATCCCACAGGATTTATTTTCCATTTAGGGTCATTTGGCCACCAGGAGATGCCCAAGTCTCAAGCTGCATAGTTTTGCCCCAGGCTCCACCCTAGCAAGGCTGATTTTAGCCTCACCCTAATTCCTTTCTGGGCTGGGATGCTGCCAGGATGGGCTGAACTCCAAGTAGCCAACCTACAACACTTCCCTACTGTTAAACTACCCACTTGGTTCCTGTCTGGTCTGAATGAGGTACCTGTCCCCAGGTAGAGAGCAGAGAACAGAAGGGATCCTCAGGGTGGGAAACAGAATGGGAGAGCAGGTGGACATAGTGTGTGGCAGCTACTCTCCTAAGGAGATGACTTTGTGGGAGAAGACTAGGCAAGCAGGGGCTAGGGCTGTGCTGCAGCTGTAAGAACAAGGGTGTTGTTGGCCTTTTGTATGCAGAATGGCATATCTGGGCATAAGCAAAGGGGCATAGTTTTCATCAAATTCTCATATAGCCATGGACTCTAAAGGGCATAGGGAGATCTGAGTTAAATATTCACCAGAAAATGAGGGTAAGACAGTCCAAGAAAGGGGACCATGACATTGAAAGGATTTATGGACTTAGGAGTAGGATCTGAGTGTAGAGTACCTGTTGAGAAAGGGTCTGCCGGGTATAGAGCTTTGGCCAGGAAGGCAAGAACTTACTGGAATTCTTGCCCTTGAGCCTGTTCTTTGTTCTTGTTACCCCAACCAGTACCTGGAACTCAGCTTGGCAAAGGCATCAGGGGTGTATGGCTTGGACCTTTCTCGCCATGCTGACGCCTTCAGTGTTTGTTGGTGCTAGAGATAGTGTTTGAGGTAGCACAATAGCCAGGTTGAAAATCAATTCGTCCATGCTGAGGTAGAAGCCCGCCCTGGACAAACAAACCCTTTGCAGCTTCCACATAGACACCTGTAGGGGTAGTGTGTGAGGCACAGAATGGTGGCAGATGGCTGAGGTGGGCCAGTTCCTCACCCTACCCAGCACCCTCAGAACTGGCTCTCAGGCTCTGTGACTCCAACCATGTCAGTCTCTTTCTCGGCTCAGCAGTTCTGGGCTGCCCTAGAAAAGTCCAGGAAGACAGATATAGTGGTCCAAGGGGAGCAAGGAGAGACTGGTTAGTCAGGCTGGGCTTTGCCTGGAGCAGGCACTGTGTGCACCTGCCGTAGCCTTCCTCCTCAGTGCTGTCACTCGTGGTTTGACAATGTTCAGGTCTTCCTAAGGGACATTCTGGTCAGGTGCTCCTTCAGGTAGGAATGTCACCATGGCCAGGAATGAACCAGGCTCTAAGTCAGACAGTTGGGTCTGAATCCTGGCTTAGTTCTTCACTGAAGGCTTGGGACTTGGCAAATCACTTGACCTTTCGAAGCCTGGGTTTCCTAACCTAAAGCATAGCAATAATTAAGACTAAGAGATTAGGTCTTTAGAGCACTGGGCAGGCCAATACCAAAGAATAAATGATGTTCTAAGATCCTGAAAGCAGAGGCTTTGCTTAAGTTGGCAGGGTAGGCACCATGGACCTTCTGATGGGGCTCTTTCGCTTTGACTTAGCTCCCTGACTTCAGCACAAGCTTGTTATTTTCATAGCTTTCCAGTCCAATGCTCCCACCTAGGAGGAGGAAGTTTCAGGCCAAAGTCCTCCCTCATTCAAAGAAGGCCAGCTGGCTTAGCTCTCACTTCCTCGGTGCACTTTTGACCATCCCTCACAGGCCCCTTCCTAGGTCAGCAGCCTAAGTCCCCACCCTCACCCCCACCCCACTTCCCTTCTGCTGGCTTTTAAGGAGGCTTTTGTGTCGCCACAGGAAATCTGAGGGCAGTTAGGCAAACTGGACCCCTCTCCCCACAGATACACAGTGTCCAAATAGAAACTTTTTATTGGTTTATAGGATCTGAAGTGCCATGTATAGATCTGCCCGTGGCTCTGCTGGTTTTGAATATGCTTATGATTTAAGGTTTCCTTCTCTCATTTCCCAGCAGAATACTGGGATCATCGACAGCTCCTTTTGGCCTAGGGGGGTATCAAGGGTTGAAGGAAAAGACTGAAGGATAGGCAGAACTGACTTCATTAGAGGCTCTGGAATAGGTGGGCTTCAAATCCACCAATGGGAAAAGTCAGGCACAGCCTGAATGGGTTGGTCCCTACTTAGCCCTAAGAACAGAGCAACAGGGCCAGGCCCACTGCAGCCAAAGTGACACTGAGATCTCATCCCCGTGATGATCACTGCTCCTTCATGCCATGGTACTTCTTCCCAGTTCCCATGTGGCACAGTGGTGGCAGAGGCAGAAGCAGACCTATTTCGTATTGCAGTATAGATACAAGGATACGATCATGGCAGCCAGCTGATGGGGGAGGAACAGAGAGAGATGAGGGGAAATGATTGGAATCCTCAAGTACGATGCATACCAGATGGCCTATGTGAAGCTCTGTTAGCAGTCTGGTCCTTGGGCGGGGAGTGTAGCTCAATGGTAGAGCATGTGCTTAGCATGAGCAAGGCCCTGAGTTCATTCCCCAATATCAAAAAAGAAGTTTGTCTCCCCCAGAGAGTTCTCAGAGATGAGTCTAGAAGCCCAGGTGTGGTGGTAATCGATACCCCCAGTCCCAACCTTCTTGTCAGCTTACCTCTAGGGCTGCAATTCCCGCTGCTACACCACCCACGGTGACTGCATTGGTCCGGATGTTAGATAGAAGCTCTTTGAAGCAACCCTTGAGGGAAGGGAAACAGCATTTATAGTTAGTTGGTAGCTGTCCTACCTTCATTTGCTACTCTAAGGCCGTTAAAATGGTCCCCACCCTTTTATATCAATTCACACCTGTACTTTACTGTCCTGGGCCTTCGGTGGGGTACAGGATCCCTCCGTTGTGCTGTTGACACAACAGAAGGGAGGAAAGGTTTGATTTTCCTTGAAGTAGTAGGGTGAGTCCTCAAAATCTGTGTAGTTGTTGAAGCCACAGCACTTGAGCTGGAGAGAAGGTAGGGTGGGTGGGTCAGTAGGGCCTTGATTCATTCTCTCTGCCCTTAAATCCCCCCAGCCCACCTTACCCCTTCCATGGTGGAGTTCCACACTTGGGTGAAGTCATTACTGGAACCATAGTCTTTCTTGATGGCAGGCACAACCAGCATGGACAGGAATTCCTCAGCCTGGGTGGGGCAGGCCAGTGTTTAGGGCCTGGTAGGGAAGGTGGTCTTTCACAGGCCACAGCCCACTTTCAGGCTTTGCCCAGTCTTCCTCCCTTGTCCCGTCCCAGTCTCTCACCATGGTGGTATACACCAAAGCAACCACAGCAGCTGCAAGCTCAGCAATGAAGATAATGAGGAGGATGATGAAGAACTAAGTGGGGGAAGAAGGGTCTGGTTTTAGGGAAAGACAGTTTCTTACATTCTCCTTCCCCTGGTCCACCCATCCTCCCTTTAAAAAATGAGGCAGGGGCCCCTCTGTTGAGACCACCAGAGTCCGAAGTAGTGTTTTGGGATCCCCAGGGCTGGTGTCAGGGTGAGGGGACCCTTGGTCATGGGCCTGTAGAGTTGGGTGAGCTGGGTCTGACACACCATCATGAGTGCACACTTGTTCTCAGACAGAGCACCGTAGCAGCCCAGGAAACCAAGAACAAAGAGCACAGCACCAGCCGCGATGAGGAAGTAGCCCACGTTGACAAACTGCATGGCACTGGACGACAGCGGCCCAAAGATCTTCACAAAGGATGGCCCATCGACTGACACCCAGATTCCCACAGCCAACAGGGCTGCACCACACAGCTGGGAACAGAGAAGTGAGGCAGGCTTTGAAACAGTGCTGACAAGCACCTCCCCGTCAGGAGGGTGGAAGCTAAGAAACTTCTGCTTTCATTGGCTGGGGAATCCAACAACCTATCATACAGGGAGGGAAATATACTTTAGTGCCAGAATGATGACAACTGGGAGGGACATCCATAGCCAGCACTAGGCTCGCTGAACAGATATAAATGAGATCAGGGTTTCTAGAAATGTTCACAGTGTGGAAAGAAGGACAAGACTGTCCCTGACTGTTGCCAGGGTCCTGACACATAGCTGGGAGTCAAAATAGGCAGATGAAGGCCCAGTGTGTCATTTCCTCTCTGGACTATGGGTGCCTAGAACACTTGTGTCCTCTTGACAGGTAAAACCAGGGGCTCAACGTCACAGTAACAAAGGAGGGCTGAAGTTTACACCTGCTACCAACCTTGAAGAGGGCTGAGGTGGAGAAGGTGCGCTCACCCTGAGCCTCTAGCTGGCTCCCCTTTGAGATCAACTGCCAGGCCTGCTCCTCATCTACCTAGACCTCTTTGCCTCACAAATGGAAACACAGAGTGGGAAAGGTTCATCAGCTCAACTCTAATCCTCAGAGGGAGTCCTGAAGCTCTGATGGGGGCAGGCCTGACTTAGTTTCCACACTCTTAGGGCAAGGCAAGGATTGGGAGCATAAACGGCCTGACACCAACGTGGTGCCTAGTTTCTACTTTCCAGTTACAGAAACCGAGGCTAGAATTGGGCATATGGTAGCAAATTGTGGCCAGATCTCAGGTATGTTTGCCTAAGACCAAAGCTGGCCTTTTAGCCTGTTGGATCAAATTTCAAGGAGCCTGCCGGTCTGCCCTACCCTGCTCTGGACAGCCTGGGTAGGCCTGGGCAACAGAGGCAGAAACCAAACAAGATTTGCCTGTAACCCCTTCAGGACAGAATCCCTGCTCTCCCTATTTCTAGAACCCTATCGCTCTCTCCAGACACGTGAATAAAAGCTAATTTCTTACAGCCAAAGGAAGCCCAAAGTACAGACCACACTAGAGTGAGAGTGCACTCCCCCAGTCTGATCAGGCCAAATCATACTCCAAACCAGTGTACATACTATGCCTCTATTCCTCACTTACTGTGGCTCCAAGTTCTTTGGTGACATCCTGTGCTAAACCCAGTGATCATTTCATGGGTCTTATCTCCTGGACCTCTCTGCCATCTTGCTTGTATTTCCCCCTTCCCTTCTCTCTTACTGCTCCTCCATTTCTTTCATGGTAGCTATTTTTTGCTCATCCCTAATAATCCAAGTTTCCCAGGTTCACTTGCCTTGAGTGCCCTCACACACTGCCATGGCATCAAGGCCACCTATGGGTACATGACTTTCAAATATCCATGGCCAGCTCCAGTCTGAGCTGCACCTCCATTGGGTAACCAGCTGCCTATGGGATACCCCCTTCCAACTCCCTGTGTTACTCATGCCAGAGACAGGAGCGCCATCTCTAAGACCTCTGACTCTCTTGACACTTCTTGAGCTACAGCCCTGAGGTTTTGTCTAGTTTGTCCATTTCTCCTTATCTCCACCATCTGCAGGGTTTACGCCTCACTGGCTGCTTTTCTAATACGCCCTATGTAATCTGTTCCTGGTTTTCTGAGCAATATCAAATTTCATTACCTCTGAGTCTTTATGCATGTTTTATAGCTCCCCCACCCAATGCAAATTCCCAGCTTCAGGTATTTCCTCCAGGAAGTATTCTCCCACTAGGCAGGGTTCAAGCTCCTCCTGTGGGTTCCCTTAACCCTCTGTTGAAACTGGGCATACCATGTTGCAATTAGCTATCTACTTGGCTTATGGATCTGAGATCCTGGAAAGCAGCGACTGTCTTGCTAACCTGCTATGCCAACACCTAGCACAGAGTTTTAATTCCATGACTGTTTTGTTTTTAGGTTCCTAGAGATCAAACCCAGGGCCTCACAAATGCTAGGCAAGTAAGGTAGCACTGAGCTACATTCCAGCCCCATCAATAAATGGATTGTTGAGTGAATAAAGACTGCCTGAGGCAGAATCTTTGCTCTAATGAGACATAGGCTCTGTCTCCTTCCAACTCCCCGCTTGTACAGAGGGTCACTAAATTGCTTTCTACACTAGGTGAATTTAGGCAAGCCCCTCCCTGAAATACCTATAAAAAGGGGAGAATCCTTTCTGTTAGCTTATCCTGCCCTGCCCTAAATCTGGCTTGAAACTTCCTAGAAGCGAAGGGATACCTGGTCCAAAGCTTCTATGCCCCACTCCCCACCGTGGGACAACTTCACTACTACTAGGACCAGAAATCAGCGTTTGGGGAAAACCTGCATCCCACTCAGAAGGAAAAAACTGCAGGGCACAATCTGGGCATTCCCCAGCTAGGGATCTGTTCAGTGTGTCCTGCTCCTATAAGGAGCCCCACAGAGACTATAATCTTTGTACTTACAAAGATGAGCGTATTGAAGATAATCGTCACAGTTTTAAGGAAGCTGAAGCATCCCATGGTGGTTCCTGGGAGGCAGAGATGTGAGAGTTACAGCCTTGTGTCCCCCACCACACCTGGGCCAGCCCTGACAGACCCCACTATCCTGGACCCATATCTTACCACAACCTCTCCCTACACCTGGATTCTGATGCCTCAAGATTTTTCTCAGTTCCCATCCTGATGCCTTTATCCACTACATGACTCAGACCCTCTGCCAGCACTTGACACTGAGATCCTAACACCCCAAGTTCAGGAACAAGGATCACAAACTAATTCCCACACTGCAGGTCACTACTCCATGCCCTCTCCTAGCATCTGTACATTCTGGGCTCCTCCCCAGACCAACTCCAACCCTTTCGGTACCTTCTCCATAGCCCTTCCAGCTCTTCAAACCTGTTTCCAGGTTGATAGCACTTCACAGGATACTCCTATCTTAAGTCATCACCTGTGCAGGGTCTTGGCAGCAAGGTTCTGAGAGGGATCTGCTGAGACACAAGAAAGGACAGAACGGCTCCCGGGAGGTGCTACTCAGTGGTCAGGCAGAGGGACAGGTTGGCACTGGTACACCACTGTTCACCTGCAGGTGGGGAAGGTGCTTTAAAAGCCTCCTTTGCCCGCCCCCTGGCCCCACCCATGGCCCTTCAGCTTCCCCTTGTCCCTGCTGCCCCCTGCTGCCTGGAGATGGGGTCCCACCACCATGCAGCAATAGGCCTCTGCTTGGAGATGTTACCCATGGGCTTTGCCTTTCCTGATCTCAAGAAAGAGAAAAAGTGTGGAGATGGGGCCAGTGGGGCCCAGAACTTTCATGTGCCCTTCACACAACAGTGCATATATGTGTCTTCCCCACCACCAGTGGCCCTTTGTGCTCACCCGCACACACATCTGCCTGGGCTGCCATCTGTGTTTACACATCAAACACAGTCACATACATAAACATCTACTGGTGCTTCTGGTACTACTGATGTGTACATATACGTGCACATGGGTGCGCACGCGCGCACACACACACACACACATTTTCAAGGAAATGACCAAGTTCTGGCAGCTTTTGCTCTCTCCTCTGAAAAGCAAATGGTTTCTATTCCTCTTCATTCCACAAACCTCAAATTTCCTCCTTTTTCTCCTTAGTCTTTCCTCTTCTCTCTTTTCCCTCTCCACATTTGTTTTTCTTCCTCCCCCCTCCATTCTTCTCCTACCACACCGGGCAATCCTTTTCTTTTCTGCCAGCAGGGGGCTCCACGGTTCCACAAAGGAGCCACCCCGTTCTAAGGCTCTAAAAATCCCCATTTTCCATGACCCTTCTGGGGCTGCCGCAGGTCCCACACTGCCTGCCGCTCCCGAGGGAGACGTGCTGGGGAAGTTCTGGCGTTCCAGTTGCTCAGACCAGGTGTTTGAATCCTGGTCCTGTCATTTCTTAGCTGTGTGATTCTTGGAGGCATTTCTCAGCCCTGTTTTTAAGCCTCTGTTTCCTAGCCTGTATGACAGAACAGTTATAGGGTTTTAAAATAAGATTTCTTTTTCTATTAGCTGTAATTTATTTTTAAAAATAAAATTTATTTCATTTTCTTCCATTCCCCCCCAAGCCTCCTCCCCTCCCTATGTACAAAAGCTTTTTTCCCATTTTTCCTTCTATTTTCACTTTTTTCTTGTCCCTCCCTTCCTTTCTCCCTCTTTCCTTCCTTGTTCCCCTTCCCATTTGAACACTTTATTCCCATAAAGTGAAATTTTCTTCCTGCTCTGGAACATAAAAGAGAATGAGCACAGAGCAAAGTCAGAAGGGAAGCAGCCACCATCAGAGGGATGTGGGATAGAGGAAGTGGCTTGTATATTATTATTATTATATTATTATTATTTTATGGTGCTGGGAACTGAAGCAAGGGCCTTGCACATGCTGAGCAAGGATTCTACAACTGAGCTACACCCCCGGCACTGAGGAAGTGTACTCTTAAGTTCTTCCTTTTTTGTTTTTTGGTGGAAGTATTATAGACAGCTAAATTAGAGAGAAATATTACAGGCAGTCAGATAGGGCTAGGCCCTCGAGAGTCAAGACAAAGATGAAACACATCACAACTGTGGCTGGAGGCACCTCTGTTGGAGACCAGGCCTCAAGACAAAGACAAAATGACCGGACCTGCATACTTCCTCAAAGAACAAACACTGGGCCTAATGAAGCCTGGATAGACATCAGTCACCCTGGTGGGTGTCCAAGACCTCTGGACCCATCATTCTAGGAAAATCTTTCTTCTTTCCATGCACACTTGTTACCTGACTTGTTTCCCCATAGGATCACTATTACCTATGTGACTATACTTGTAAACTTAATGGTTAATCATAGCTGTAACCCCCATTGTACTCGTGTGTGTTTTGTTCTATAAGACTTCCCTGTAAAGTGGGATCCCTGGCTATCCATTTGGGTCCCCTCCCGCCTCTCAGGAGTTATCTTATCAATAAATATTTTCCTACTCTTAACTTTTGTTGTTCCTAGAATTCATTCTTTGATTTTTAGAGAACATGAACTCGGTGTATCAATAGACATCTAACAGGTTGGGAAATATAATATTTCATATTTCATCTCCTGTATCAGAAGGATGATAGTGAAGAAACACAAGAGAGGGAATAATAATATTACAGAGTATAGCCCAGGGCACGGTAGTGCACATCAATAACCTCAGCTATGCTGGAGGTTGAAAGTGGGAGGATCACTTGAGCTGGTCAGGCCCAGACTGGGCAACATAGTGAGACTGTCTCAAAATTAAAAAACAAACAAACAAAAAATCAGACCATACTATCAATAAATATCATGCTTGAAAAGCATTATATATATTCTTTATTTTTTCTCCACCACAATGCTGAGATACTTTCTTTTCAATACCCATTTTAAACATGGGGAAATGGAAGCAAAGAAAGGTTAGGTTTTTAACACAATCATATGCCTTATAAATGACAAAGCCAACATTCAACCTGTCAGTCTGACACCAAAGTCCCACTCCCACCCCATAATGGAGACTAAATCCAGGGCCTTTGGCACTGAGTTACATCATCAGCCTTTTTATTGGTTTGTTTCCTTAGCAAGGGTCTTGCTAAAGTCATTAAGTTGCCCAGTGTCTTAGTTACTTTCCTTGTTGCTGAGACAAAATACCCAACAGCCACAGTTAAAGGAAAGAGGTTTATTTAGCTCAGTTTGTAGAGGTTTCAGTCCGTAATCAACTGGCTCCAGGGCAGGGTGGCTCATGGCAAAGGAGAAAGAGTTCATGGTGGGCAGAAGGTAGCAAAGCAACAAGGGACAACCAGCACTCTTTCCACTCCTTATATCTTATCCAGGCTACTTAGGACAGGCAGCACTCACACCCTTAGTTCTAGTGCCCTTGAGCCTAGCACTGCACCGTGAGTCAATACCAGTGTCTCACGCTAGATCCAGCCACCTCTGAAAAAGCCCCACCTATGACTGCATGAGGCTTTGAGGATCTAAACACAAGCCACAGCACCCAGACTGGGTTTGATCTTTTAGTCCTCTTCTTTTAGCTTCCCAGAATGCTGGGATTACAGGTGTGCACTACCACGCCCGGCCCAGAGTTCATATCTTAACCACTCATTGATGGAATCACTAAAGAGGCAGGTGGGGCTGGCTTCCAGAAAGAGCAGAGGACCACTTGGTCAAGGACCTGACAAAGATCTCAGGACAGGGAGGCCTATAGGGACAGTGGCTGAAGGTTGATGAGAGAAAGGTCATATTCTAATATCATGGATGGCAAGAGCAGAAGCTAGTGTAGGGGATGTTCAGGGATACCGGGTGGTATCTAGGGCTTCCGCTGTCTCCAGCAGGTTGCTGTAGAACAGTAGGCAGAGTCTGGGAAGGAGCAGAGGAGGGAAAGGAAGAAGGGCTTAAGGGCAAGTCCAAAGTCCCTCAACTCAGTGCAATACAGGGCAGAGCCACTAACTCTCTTATCTTGTACAAGAAAGGTGATGAATACAGGACTAGCACTTCTTATATCCCTACCTACACTGATTGTCCATATGGTTTTCCTTTTTATCTCAGAAAGAACTGAGACCATGTCCCAGTCACCTGCCCCTGGTGCTTAATACACCTGAAGTTGTTGCTGAACATTTCCTGAGTGAATGAGCACAGAGTAACAAGAGATAAACATTCTGAAATTGAGCACGGTGTTGCATGCCTGTAATCCTACCTAGGCTGGGGCAGGAGGATTGAGTCTGAGGCCAGCCTGGGCAGTTTAGCAAGACCCTATCTCAAAATAAAGGTTTTTACTTTCTTTTTTTATTTTTTTGGTACCTGGGAGCAAACTCAGGACCTTACACTTGCAAGGCAGGAGGCAGGTGGCAGCACCACTGAGCTAAACTCCGGCCCTCAAGTTTTTTTTTTCTTTTTTCATACTGGGGACCAAACTTGGGACCTTGCGCTTGCAAGGCAGGCCACGGAACCACTGAGCTAAATTCCCGGCACAAAATAAAAGTTTTTTAAAGAGCCAGGGATATAGCTCAGTGTAGAGCAGAAGGAACCAATAAATATGTTTACCACTTTTGTAGTTATTCATGGCCACACTCAGAAAGATAAAAATTTTGAGTTGTCCAACACAGGTATTTCTGAACAGATCTGTCTGTCTTCCTGTTTCGGCTCTCATAAACAAAGGTTCTTTGGCAGTCTATTTAAGTGACACATTTTTCAAAATTTTTGTGTCTTTTGGTGATTTTGCTGGCTCAAGTGGCCCGTTTTTTTTGTTTGTTTGTTTGTTTTTGTGTTTTTTGGTACCTGGGATTGAACTCAGAACCTTGTGCTTGTGAGGCCAGAAGCGGCACCACTAAGCTAAATCCCACACCCCATTAGCCCCTGGTTTTAATGTTGAAGCACTATCTAGAGTTTGTAAGCACAAGAAGGCTGTTATGTGGTTTAGGGGAAAAGGCATACGTTAGATAAACTTGATGAAGGCACAGCTTACAATGTTGTGGCCATAAGTTCAATGTTTTGCTTTTTGTTTTTTTGGGGGGGTTGGTACCAGGGATTGAACTCAGGACCTTGTGCTTGTGAGGCAGGCGCGGTGCCACTGAGCTAAATCCCCAGCCTGCCATAAGATCAATGTTAATGACTCAGTAAGATAAATTAAATGAGGTGTCATAAAAGCAGCTTATGTATCAATCACTTGGCAAAAATGTGACCAGAAACTTGCCAAAAACCTATGTATTTCCCTTAGGAGTAATGGTTCAGTATTGGTTAATTCAATGTTTGTGTTAACTTCATGGAACATAACTGTTGGGAATAATGAGAATCAACTGTATACAAATAGAGACAATGATAGAATCTCCTTGTAGGTTAAATGGAATTGTGTTTGTAAACTGTTTGACAGTATCTGGCACATAGTAAGGGCTCAGTAAACATTGCTAATATTATTAATGCTTATGAACAAAACAGAGTGATTTTTTTTTTTTTTTGCCAAGTGGCCAAGCCAACATTGTCTGGCTCTTGGGCAGGATCCAGTGGAAAGGATTGTGAGAGAGAGAGAGAGAGAGCCTGACCCATGGGGCGAGGCCAGGGATCAGGACCTGCAGTAAAGAGCACCGCCCTTAGCTACAGTCATTATGTCATAGTGGCCTCAGCTACCCTGGCCAGCAGCACCCCTTCTGGACACCACAGAAGCTTTCTGTGCCCATGGGGCCCTCTCATCTCCGTGGCCCTCGGCTTCGGGGCCTGAGTTCACCATACCGCAGGTCAAGTATGGGTTGCCCCCGGCCCCGGTTTCGCAAGATGTTCAAGTGCAGCCGCAGAAGGTACCAGCAGAAACTTCAAGGTCCAACTGCTACCAATCTTGCCAAAACCACTGTGGGGATCGTCTCATCTCGAGGTTAATGGGGGCATCGAGAGTAGGCAGACCTGTGATTCAGTATGGGGCAAGGGGGTTGGAAAACAGGGCCACTGAAGTTTTCCCCTGTGCTGCTTAGCCATTCTAGGGACAAATTGTGAAATACTACCCCAAAGGAATGGTGGGATCTTCGAGGCAGGCATTTCTAGGAGCTCAGAGCCTTAAGGGGGATAGAACAGCTGGAAATGGATGGCCTGGGGAAGTAGGTGAATCCGAGGGGCAGTGGACTTCCAGAAATACTGATTCCTCACACCCTTCCCTCTCCTTTCTGTCCTCAGTTCTCAGGCTCCTCCTACAACTTGGGAGCTCTCTCATCCTCTAGAATGCCCAGAAGCTTGGCCTACTCTGGACCCACGTCTCCAAAGGGCTGGGGATAGTAAACAACAAGTAAAACCATTCTGCTCAAACTGCCTTACTCTGTACTGTGGTGTTTCCAGCCAGCTATGTGGGGTATGAGGGCAGGTTTGCAGCTGAATATTCCCAGGAACAGGCTTCAGTAACGTCAGCAGGCATTACACTCGGTTACTGAAAGGACAGGACAAGATCAGCAACACACACCCATCTTTGTCCTCTCTCTTGATCTGCCCTGTGAAGCAGAGGTCTTTCCTGTCTAATACTCCCATCTACACAGGCTGAAGGGTTTCCACAGACATCTTTTTTTTTGGTACTGGGGATTGAACTCCGGACCTCGCGCTTGTGAGGCAGGCAGTGGAACCACTGAGCTAAATCCCTAGCCCTCCACAGACATCTTGAAGACATGAGGAGGCACAAATCAGAGGGCGAGAGAGAGCATGAGAAAGACAGAATCCCATGAATGTTCCAGAATGCTCCTCTGTTTGCCTGTGATGGTCAGTGTGTAGATGTAGCTCCCGGTGTGTGTGTGTGTGTGACAGGAGAATGGGAATATAAGCAGCATGTGACAATATGCCTTTGTGATCCTGTGTGCTTCAGTGGCTGGCTGTGTCAAGGAGTATTTGTGAGGAAACCAGGAGCCAGAGCTTTGGCATCTGCTCTCCTAAGAAGAATGAAGGTCAGAAGGGGGATGGGGGCAGCCTGAGGGAGGAGAGGGTGAGGAAGCCTATCACCTTCAGCCCCCAGCCATCAGGCTCTGAGGTCAGTGATTCTAGGACGCCAGCTGAGCTGGGGTTCTTGGGGGTGGGGCAAGAGTGAGTTTGAGCCCAGAAAGGTGGGAGGGAGCTAAGCTCTCTGGCTTGGGGATTTTCCATTTGGATTTCTGAGTGTGCCCATATGTCATCGGGTGTAACTAGATTCCTGTCAGGTGTGTCTCCATGGGGCTGTGTCATAGTGGCTTGGAACACTGTGAGGGTCTCTGTAATATTTTGCTTTGTGCATTGCTTGGTATGTGTTCTAGTATCCCTGAGGGTTGAAAGTGAGAGTGAACTTTGAGAGATTTGGTAGCCTGGCCCCCTGGGGTTTAAGAAGTCTGAATAATATCTTTTGCTGCCCTTAAGAAAAAAATAAAATTTGCCTAAGTTCATCTACTCCAAGGCTTGCCAGAGAGTGGGACTCTGAGGAGAGGGGTGGGATAGAAATTCACTGCCACAATGTACCCAAACAGTGCTGGGCTCCTCAAGGTAAGGGATTGAAGGGGTTGCTGACCATCAGCTAGAGCTAGAAGATGGCTGGCCCAGTGCCCAAGCCCCACAAATGAGCCCATACATATAAATATGCATGACAAAGTCGACAAATACATGCAGATAGTAATATAAGTGAACTAAAAACCACACAATGCAACACACACATGTGCAGGCTGGCATATGCTACAAACAGATATGCACTAACAAAAAATGCACAGAATCCCCCACCATGATACATGCAACAATAAATACACACTCCTACAAATGAACACACAGCCACAAACAGTCATGAATCCTAACAAAAATGTATAAGCATACAGACACGGACACAAGCAATCACACATGCAAACCCAGGGATACACAGACATACACTCATGCAGACACACTCACCAGACTTCCCTGCCCCTGTGGCCCTGGAAACCAGAAGCCTCCCTCCCTGTGTGAGTGTGAGTGTGTGTATGTGCATACCCATGGTTATGTGTACCTGTGTCTTTGAGTGTGTGTCTGGGGGTGCTAAGCTGGGAAAACCTGATGACATCATCTCATCTGTCTATTTTTAGCTCTGTCTGCAATGAGCTTCTCCACTGCCCTCCTCCCTCACAGTTCCCAATTTTCTTTCCCCTTCAGGCTGTCGGAGGCAGCAGCTGCCAGAGGGCACCCACCACCTCAGTTTGGGTGGTCCTCTGCCAGGACTTCCTGGAGGCTGAGAACACTGGGCTCTAGGACCAGAGCCGTGGCATAGCCTGCAGCAGAGGTCTGGGATAGGGGAGCACTCTACTTCTGCTTTTCGGTCTGTCGCTCTGCCATAGTCTATAGTGCCTGCTATATGCCAAGGAGGTGCCCAGCTGTGAGAGATGATGGGGCTCCGAAACAGGGTCTCATCGTAACATTAACTACATCAGAAGGCACTTTCGGTGAATTGTAGAGAGGCCTCTGGACACTGATAACAGGTCTAGGATGATTTTTTTTTTTTTGTCTTTTCTCCCATCTCTCAAAGATAACATAAGGAAGTAAGGATAACATAAGGGAGCACCCTTCACCCTTGCAACTACACCTCTAGATTTCTACTTGCAATGCTTCCTTCTCACACCCAGGCTGTACTCCCAACCTACCCTGCAAGTGGTGGGCCCCCTGCTATTAGCTCCCCCTTTTCTTTGGGTCCCTGTCTCCCCACAGTGATCTCCAGGAAGCAGGTCACTGTTCCCCATCTCTAGACAAGAAAACTGAGGCCCAGTGCTGGCTACATTTCACAGCTCCCTGGGAAGCAGCACAGAGGAGATGGCAGGCGGGTGGAGGACGTGGTGGTGCCCTGGGACTGCTGGCACAGGTGCAGGAGCTCAGGCCCAGCCAGGGAATCAAGAGGTGAGGGGGAGGAGGGTGGTGGCCGGGGTATCTGTACCAGGAGGAAGGCTTTCCACTCCAGTCTGCCTCAGGCAGTCACCGGAAAATCAGGTTTGGCAGCTGGGGGAAAAGGAGGGCGGGGGTGCAGGGATGAGGGGTGGAGATCCTCTAGTCCTCTGTTTCACCAACCAAGTGGTTGGGGAAGCATTTTATAATCCTTTTGGAGTATAGGAAGAACACCCCTGGGCTGTAGGCAGGATCCTGGAGTTCCAACCTCTGTTCTACTCTAATCCCTGATATGATCCTCAAAAAAGTCCTAGACCCTTTTCTGGCCTCAGTGGGACTTCCCAGGAAGAGGTTCTATAAGATTAGGTTCTCCATCCTCCAACTCCTGCCCTTTGGATTCTTCTGAAAGCGTGACTCAGGGGAACATACAGTCAGAGGGTTGGGGCCAGACCGGCCTCTTTGCTGCCAGGCTTGAATGTCCTTTGTTACTAATGGGTCAATGGCCGGAAGTCCAGCTCCAATCCTACAATGCAATACTATTCACCCCACCCTTACCAGGGCCCCCACTTCCGGCCTCTTTTCCTTCTTCCTTTCTGGGGAAGGCTGCAGGGATCCCTAGGGAAGAGCTTCCATATTACCCTCACTATTCTTAACCCTCTCTTTCCTGGTGACCATTTGGCCAGGCCAGTCTCCCATTAAACTTTCTTCCCCCAGGAATCCTGGGACAGACCAGAAAGGGAGGACTGTAAAGGAGCCTGTTTTTCCTGCTACTCTTAGATACTGGATCTCAAATAAGCAGTTTGGGAGAGGAAGGATGGACTGAGTGCTGGGGCCTAAGACTGGACTGCCTTCTAGCCCCAGGAAAAGTGGAATCTACCTCCTACCCAGCCATCTCTTTTCTCTGCCTCACCTGACCCAGAGTAGTAAGCCCAGAGCTGAGATTTGCAACTTTTGGAAAACACACAAAAACCCTGGCCAGTGTTACCATGTCAATGACAAAATTCATTAAACAATAAAATACTATGAAATTCTAGATATGTAGAATCCACAGTCATGGAATCTAGGCATCACAGAATTGTAGCATGGTAGAATCTGAGTTCAGAAGCTTAGGAATCCAGAATGGTGGTATCACCGAATCCCAGACCAGAGTTCAGAGTATCCTTGAGAGTTTGATCCCTGATACCAAAAACAAAGAGTATCCTTGAATTGGAAGTCTTGAAAAGTCAATTAATGAAGCCCTTACCTTCAAGTGGATGTTTGAACCTGGATATGCACAAAGGAATTTACACAGGAGTTTTGAGGGGAGGCAGAAAGCTAGAGACACAGGAGTGAAGTAATAAACCTGCAATGAACCAGACAGAAGACAAACCAGGACAGATTCCTGCTTCCTGAGGATAATGGATGAGGGTGTGGCAGGTGAAATTTATAGAGTGGCACTATAAAAACAAAGAAAATATAACCTAAAGAAAGAAGCTGGAGGGCTGGGGACTTGGCTCAGTGGCACTGGGCCTGCCTGGCAAGTGCAAGGTCTTGAGTTCAAGCCCCAGTCCCCAAAACAAAATTATACAAAACAAAACAAAGAAGCTAGACATGGTGGCATGCACTGTAGTCCCAGGACTCAGGAGGCAAGGTGGGAGGATCACTTCAGTTCATGAGTTTGAGACCAGCCTGGACAACATGGCAAAACCTTGACTCAAGGAAAAAAAACTCATCAAGTAGCATAACACGTACATCAACCCAACACCTCCAGCTTCCTTACGTTTGGGGTTAACATCAACCACAGACATTTCTAAAGGTTAGTAAGACTCATTAGCACATTGGAGGGCAACAACTTGTGGTCTGGCTTTTTTGGTGGGGGAAACAAGCACCAAAAATATTTGGGGAGTGGCTGGGAGAAGCAGACTTTCTTCAAAAAAGGTGTTGAGCCCTAAGCTACATGGTGCACAGCAAAGCCACCCAAGCAGTGGGGTTCAGAGCCTGTGGCAAGGCCCTGATGGAGGACCTTGTTGAGGGTACCAGTGTGGGGTGGTGCTGGAGGCCCTGGGCATCTATAAAAAAGGAGCCAACCTTGAGGCAAATCTGCATGGGAGCAGACCTTGCCTTGTCTTGTCCATGGAGCTGCTATCTCGGGTAAACAGAGATATTTACCTAGCATTGCTGGTAAACTGCTGCAAACTCTGGAACCTTTAAGGAGCAGTTCCAAAGAGAGGCAAATGCCAGGCCCTGCTGGTATGGGAAATGGGACAATGTCAACTGAAGGTGCGCTTGCTCAGCTGCCTGTCTGTAGACTCAGCTCAATACCCTTGCCTCGACCTCAACTCAAACAACCACTTGTCTCCCTCTCCTTGCCTGCCTGCTGTTCTGCCTACTTATACCTGCTGTGTGACCTTCAGCAAACCCTGTCTCTTCTCTGGGCTGAAAGTCTACTTTTCTGTCTTTTGAAGTCTATAATTGGGTCCTAAGGGCAGCTTTTAGTGTTGTGTAGTCTTGGTTTTGTCCAGGGCAGTTTTAACTTCAGATAGCTTCATACTTAGCTTCCAGAGAAAGCTTCAGGGAAGAATGCAGGAAATGCGGAATGGAAACAATGCTCACACTTGCCATCGTATATATGTCGATGTCAATGATGGGTATTTTCCTAAATATTATATAATGCCCACAACCATCACTCTCTGTATATAAATCATTCCTCTCTCTCCCTCCCCCTTCCTCTCCCTCCCCCCCGCTCCCTTCTCTCCCTCTTCGTTTCTCTTCCTGGTGCTGGGGCTTGATGATAAGCACACTCAATAGGGGCTTTACCACTGAGCCATACCCCAAGCTCTCACTGCTTCCATTTTATAGATGAATGAACTGAGACTCCGAGAGGTAAATAACATGCCTAAGATTATGCAGCTAGGGAGTAACAGCTAGAGTCATATGTCTGTCTATCTAAACCTGGGGCTATGGTTTCAGGTTAGCATTATTCCATGTAGCTTCAGCAGGTAAAATGAGAGCCTGTGGCTGGTTTCAAAGAGATATGGCTGATCGCAAGAGGTGGTGAGTTCCATTCAGGGTAGTGTGGGATAAGGGCTTAAAGCTTCCTGAGCTGTCGCAAAAAATGAACTGAGATTGCCTCTTTGGGGAATTTGGTACTCTCAGCCCACACTGCAGATGGCTGGGTTGGGATGAAGAGTAGGACACTGGAGTCAGGAATGGGATGGTCCTGAGCTGGACTTCAGGGTGTTGACAGGCTGCTTCCTCTGCTCCTGTAGAAAGGGTGTATATGCTGTCGGGGGCTGTAAAAAGTGGGGGCTGCTTCATTTTCTGGGGTGGGCTGGTTCCCCCTCCCCCAGTTAGAGCTGGTTGACAAGTCTCAGGAGCTTTGGGCTCTGGAACTTTCCTGATAGGACAGCATCATGGTGTGTTGACACTAGGTCCACTGCCTTGAGGTTCCCTGCAACCTTGCACAGTTGCCTCTCTTAAGTGGCCCAGGGGAAGAGGAGGATTCAGATATACTCCTGACCACACCCAAGGTTGGGTCATCACAGGAACATTAGAGATCCAGGAAGTCACTGGCTCACCAAGGGGGAACTGGAAGAGTCTCATGGGTTGTTTCATCCAGACCCTTAATGTAAAGGTAAAGGAGAAACCTGAAGTTCAGAAAGGCTGAACCATACACGGCTCTTGGCATTGAGGACACAAAATTGAATCAGTTCTGGTCCTTGTTCTTGAGACCTTGCAGCCTGACAGAAAAAACAGGTAGTAGATACATGAAGAAAGATAACAAGGCTAAGTGAGAGGTTCAGACTTTGCACACTGGGAGTTTAGAGAAGCAGGAGCACAGACTCCCCAGAGGCTGCACAGAAGATACACAGGTAGGTTTGGCTTTGCTTTGTTGTTTGTTGTCTGTTTTCAGATAAGGTCTCACTATGTTGCCCAGGTTGGTCTTGAATTCCTGTGCTCAGTCTTCCCACTTTAGCTACTTGAGTAGCTAGGACTATAGGTATGCACCATTACCTTGGGTTGCAGAGGTGATTTTTAAGCTAGGTTTAAAGAACTGGCAAAATTTTAGTTGGAAAAACAGTATGAGCGGAAGCTCAGAGCCAGTGCTAACTATGTGGGATGAATGAATTGCCCTGGGAGGCGGGCCCATGTGGCTAGAGTGGAAGGGCAACAGGACAGCCAGGGCCAGCACTGGAGGTCCAGACTGTCTGTGTTTTGTGAGCAGGTAGTAGTTACTAAGATGTAGGCCCCAGGATATGAAAGCCCCACCACCCCTGTAGCTATTAGGGGGAACTGAAGTGACTATAAATGTAAATGTTTTTGAGATGGGGTCTCGTTGTGCAGTTCAGGCTGGCATTAAATTCACTATGTAGTCCGGGCTGGCCTTGAACTCTAGGTGATTTTTCTGCCTCAGCCTCACTGAGTGCTGGGATTATAGGGTTCTCCACCACGCCCAGTTTAGAGCTGGAAGGTCCTTAACTATAGTAAGGGAGCTGCTGGAAGGTTACCATTTCAGGAGCTGGCAGTTTCTGTTAATTCAACACACATACAATAAACACAAAGCCTCAGCCCCCTATCCCTCCAGGAGGCCCAAGGTTCAGCTTGAGATCTGACCCAAAGAGGTTACTAGCTGCCACCCCAACCCAGGTCACTGTGCCATGGTCCCAGTCTGGGTGGTCATGGGGTGGAGAAAGCGTCCTTAACTCTGGGCTGCAGTGAGGCCTCCAGGTGCTGCAGCGAGGCAAATGGTGCACCAGGCCCCAAAGCCTGGCTGGAAGCACTTCTCCTGGTCCTGACCTAAGGGCACCAGGGCTCCCAGTGGAGGGGAGGGTGATTTTTCTGCTGGGTGGGGGTGTGGAGATGAGAGTCTGAGGCAGGGCTGTAATTAATGGTGCCAGTGCCTGGAGGGAGAGGGAAGCCCAGGGCCTGGAAGACCCTCCCAAGCTACCAAAACCTAAGAGTAAGGGGTGTTGACAGACACTCTGAGCAGGAGGGAGCAGGACCTTGAGGTCCCTACCTGAGATTTGCAGATATGGGGATGGTGAGCTGATTTGAGGCTGATGGGGTGGAGGATGCAGGAATTCCTAGGCCTGGAAGAGGCACCCCAAACCAGAGACTGGCCTGTGCCTGCTTGCTTGTCACATACAAATGTGGTTTGGGCACAAATCTCTGTCCTCTGGAGACCCCTCGTCTTGTAGGAGAGTGCTGGTGAGTGTTGGGGGACGTGGAATGGGTGGCATGTACTCAAGGGTGAGCAGTTGTTGGTGAAAATGCTTGTAGGGTAGGAGATTTAGCTCAGTGGTACCACACCTACCTTGCAAAAGCAAGGTCCTGAGTTTGATCCCTGGTACAAAAAAAAAAAAAAAAAAATGCCTATCAGAGATTTAGTTCAATGGTGCCATGGCCTGCCTCACAAGCACAAGGTCTGGAGTTCAATCCCTGGTACAAAAAAATAAATAAATAAACCAAATGTGTAAATACGCATAGAGAGGTTCGTTAATTTTTTTCAGTTTTAATTTTTTATTAGTACATATTTGCAGTATATAATGATTAGAGTCCTTGTGGGGATGTACATACATGAGATTTGTTTATTGAGTTCTTACATATGCCAGACCAAAGGAGGAGTTCTTCCTTTTTTTCTTTTTTTTTGGTATCTTTATAATCAGAAAAGGACAAGCCAGACATGCTGGTACAGGCCTGTACTCCCAGAGGATTTCCTGAGCCCAGAACTTTGGGGCTAGCCTGGGCAACATAGGAAACTGTCTCCAAAACAAAAAAAAACTCCTCTTTTTATTTTTTAAAAAATTATATCGACCTTGGATTCAGTAGTGCTAAGACACTTGTTTGGCCATGGAATTTTTTGGGGGGGAGGTTTAAAAAAATTTATTGGTGCATTTTAGATATAAATAATAACAGTCATCATACAGAATTTGTGCCTGTACATGATATATCTTGCTTTTTAAAAATTTCATTCCCCTCCCCTTCCTTCAATTCCTCTTCCCCTCCTGATTTGCAAAAGC